GCCAGTGCCCATCCAAGCCAGTACCTGGATAAGTTGAAGTTATTTTAATTCAAGCCCATACTCTCTGCTCACTGAGAGCTAGGTCTGTCTCTCCAGCGTGGGGCTAAGCTTAGCCGCTAGCTTCCATCAAGCGAGGGTTGACGGGCTCTTTCCTGTGGCTGTAATCCTCGCCATCTCCACAGGGTGGCAGCAAACCCCTCCAGTCACAGCCTTTCTCCCTGGAGCTGAGACACTGCAGGCCGAGATGCTTCCTCCAGAGGCTCCCTCCTTTCCACGGAGGCGATGCCAGAAGCAGAGATCCTCTCTTCTTTATCTCACTCACCCTCACTCACTTCGTTCTGCCCACTTTCTCTGCCTGTAACAATGAGATCATCTGAACGCTTAAACTGAACTCTTCACTAATATGAATTCATTGGGTGCAATCAGAATATACAAACCAATCTCCGTAATACTTCTTTGTGGGAGGGCATGGGTCTAGATGGCCCACTCCCTGACTCTCGCCTGAACTCAGTTCAGGACAGGTCCCTCACCGTTGGTTGCTCCCACTCCCCCATTCCTGCTGCCAGCCCAGCTTCTCCCGACCCCTGCGGCCCCACACCTGTCCTGAGTGGGAGGCCTACTCTCCTCACAGCCTGCCCCCAGGTCCATGTTCCCACATCCCCAACCCCCTTCTCCCCCAGGACCCAGGCTCCCCATCAACTGTAGCCTGACTAGGTTCAGTGCAAAGGGCTCCAGGCGGGGTGTGACTCTCTGGCCTCCAGCCCGGCCCTGCCTCTAACTTCTCTGTGAACTTGACCAATTCCTGCTCCTTCTGGCTCTCAGTTGCCTTGTCTCATGAAGCGGTCAGTGGTCCCTCCCAGCTTGGTCCTTCTGGGGACCACCATCCCTGGTGGGTGGGGATCTCAGGCTGGCACCAGCTCTCCTGGGCCCTCAGCCCTCGCTGCACTGAGGGAACTGGCCATGGCGAAGGCCCTTGCTAGGTGTTCACAGAGGCCTGGGCCTCCCTTCCTGTGACCTCAGGACTGGCCCTTTAAGACCGATCTTCACTAATCGTAGGGATGAGACCTACAGACATGGCTTGGCTAGGAGTCGGGAGCACTGCCTGTCTTCCTCCAGCCCCTCCCATCATACCCCAGAGCCTCCGAGAGGAGCCTTCCTGCTGCCCAGGCTCCCAGCTCCCACTTGTTCTCCACCCACCCCTCCGGGGTGGACCTATTGGTCAAAGAGCCCCACATCATCTCTGCCTCCACTCGCATCCAACTTGGAGTCTAACTCCCCTCCCTGGAATACAGTGGCCTTAGTGACCTGCTTCTCAGGCATAGAACGTGGCAGTGATGCTGCGGGATGTCCAGGGCTAGGTTCTAAATTTCCTAGCAGTTTCCGCCTGGCTCCGGCTCTCAGGACGCTGATCTCTGGGTCCCAGCCACCAGGATGTGAGGCAGCCCAGGCATATGGAGAAGCCACATGTAGGCGCTGAGGCTGACAGCCAGCATCAGCCACCAGACGCGAGCGAGCCTTCAAATGATTCCAGCCCTGGGGCTTCAGGCTGCCACAGCTGATGGGCGGTGGACCAGCGACAGCTCTCCACGCAGGGGCCCGGCCCAGCCTGCAGATGTGTGCGCAAAAGAAATGTTAGGGTGAGCCTCTAACATGTGGGGTGGTTTGTTACAGAGCATTAGGTAACTGGAGCAAACTTAAGCCCTGGCTACTGCTGATTTCTGCTCAAACACGCATGCATGCGTGCGTGTGTGTGTGTGTGTGTGTGTGTGTAGGTATTCGGCCAGAGGCCACTGGATCTCAGGACCTAGATTCCAGCTGGGCCACTCAGCTGAGAGCAATTTCTGCTAAACTTCCTAATTGGAACCCTGCTTCTCCCTTTACCTCAGTTCAAGGTTGTTAGAACAGACCCTTCCTTTATTTGCATGTGATTTGTGTGCAATTTGCATACATCTACATAAGTCATATTAGGTGGGTTTTAAGGTTTCTGGGCCCTTCCCTGGGGGAGGTACTAGCATCTTGGACCCTTGGAGGGACAGGAGCACTGGAGGCTAACTGGTCTGCTCTCCTATCCCTTCACATCTGCTCCTCCATGTGACCACCCATCACCTCCCCAGGTGGTCCTTGGATGGCTGAAGTTGATGCAGAATTTCTGGGTTTGTGGAGTTCTGTGTAAAGAAAAGCAAGGTATTATTTCTATATTTGGGCTTAGTTCTTTCCTCTGGGAACATCAAGACAAGTCAACCACTTCTCCCCCAAGACCCATGACGGTACCATGGTAGCCTCAGGTTTCTCTCTCTCAGCTCGGCATCCACTGCGCCGTCACTGTCTGTGGCCTGGCCTTGGCCCCAACCTCCCCTGCAGCCCTCTTCCAGAAGCGCCAGGCCAAGGGCTTTCAGACGTTTCTTTTAGAAGCAGTACCCTGTTTTCTAATGAAAAAACCTCACGCAGAGCTCACTTAGAAGACAAACAAAAGTCAAGCTGCTCTCCGTGTGAGTGGGCAAGGAGGCTCCCCCAGACCCTCTAGCCACAGCTGGAGAACTCGGCTTGCCAATCACTGTCCTTGTTTGTTCCTCTCAAGAGATGCCTCTGGGTATAGAACCTAGCCCTCCAGATTTGCAGAGTCTCTCAGGGGTGAGCCCTGGCTTTCCATTTCAGCAACAGAGGGGACACTGATAGTCTAAGCAGTTGCGTTTCACCATTGCCTCTTACTAAGCTTGAGGCCCACTGAGACCTCCAGATCTTCTTTTTTAATTTTTTGGCCTTGCTATGCGGCACATGGGATCCAGGGACCAGGGATCAAACCTGTACCCCTTGCATTGGAAGGCTGCCGTTTTAACCACTGGACCTCCAAGGAAGTCCTGAGACCTCCAGATCTTTGTCAGCACGATACTTTTAAGCCTAGTCTCTCTTGGCCTATTCTCAGACTCAGTAGCTTCAGGAGTCTGGACTGAAGACAGGACAGGGAGGAACAGAGAGGCCTGGCCAAGGGTCTGGCTGTGTGTCCTGAAAAGACTCAGCCAGTCAGAGCCCCAGTCTCTTCAACTTTAGGATGGGAAGACAGTCCCTCCTCATAGACAAGGCAAAAAAAAAAGCCCATAGCTGGGACTTCTCTGGTGGTCCAGGGGCTAAGACTCATGAGCTCCCAGTGCAGGGGGCCTGGGTTCAATCCCCGGTCAGGGAACTAGATCCCACGTACCACAACTAAAGATCTCACAGGCCACCACGAAGACTGAAGATCTCACATGCCGCAAGCAAGACCTGGGGTAGCCGAGATCGCCCCGTCACCCAGTACTCCCACCCCTCCCCTAGGGCCTGACACAGGCACCCAAACACGCAAGATTCACTTTGGCAACAGGACTTTTATTCAGTCAAAATGAGTGTGACAAACCCCAGACAGGCCGCCGCCCTCCCGCATGCCCACCCTTCCCTAGGAGAGGGGGTTCCAGGAGGAAGGGGGTGTGGAGACAATGCCACAGGGATCAAGGGGCATCTCCTGGGTGGGCTGAGGCACCCTGGACAATGCCCTTCTCCAAACCCACATGGACAGGACTTCAGTCTTTCAGGAACACACCACCAAGTGTACTTCCTCCAGCTAATTCACTAAAGTTTGGGGTGGGGAGTCCCTAGAGGGTTGGGAGTCAGGGACTTTATGGTCTAATCTCATACTTAAGGAATACAGTTTTTTTTTTCTTCCAAACAAAAGTTTTCTTTCTGCTATTTAAAAAAATGTTTGCGTGTAACCAAAAATATGTATTTGTTTCCTTTTCCTTTTTCCTCCATCTTTAACTAAGTCTTTCAAAGAACACAACAGAAAAGAAAAACAAGAAATCACAAGAACATAAATCCTTAAACACACCTCGTATAAAAATAGTTTCCGGCCGTATCTGCTGACAGTGGTTGTGCCACTGCCCGGGGGGTGGGTCAGGCTGGCTGTCCCAGGCGACAGAGGGCTGGGGACCGCCCCCCCACAACATGCACACAGCCAGCACACACAGTACATTCCAGGGGCCAGTCTGCTCCAGTGGCTGTGGGCAGGATAGCGGGCAGGCGGGCCGCGGGCTGACGGCCCACCCTCCCAAGGCCCAGGTACACAGAGGGTCCTTGGGGTCCCAGTCGAGGACAAGTTGGCTGAGCGGGTCAAAATGGGAGTGGGCAGGCCAACGAGACGCAGCACCAGTAGTGTGCTGAGAAGCGGCTAGTCTGGAGCAACGATTTATACTCCCAGGAACAAATTTTCCTCTTATTTTTGGCTTTTTTTTTGTTTTTTTTTTTTCACATTTTCTTTGACCAATTCCATCTTTATTTCTGCAGGCCCCAAGAGGCCCACCCTTGGTGAGGAGCCAGGAGGGACGGTCCAGTGATACAACACAGGCCTGAGAGCCAGCAAACTTCGAGGTAGATATTTTCTTTCACACCTGGAAATGGGGAAGTGCTTTTTTTTTTCCTTTTTTATTTTTTTTAAACCCAGGGCAATAATGTAGGGAGGGAGAAGGGGTGCCCCCTAAAGGGGCTTGAGGTAGGAGTGCATTCGGGGTTCTACTCCCCCGAGGACATTCATTCCGGCTGAGGTAGGTGCTGAAAGTCAAAACAGCAAAACTCCATCCTGAGAAAACAAGGTGGTGGAGGGTGACAGTGTCAGGCGCCCAGCCACAGCAGGGGCTTATTTTTGGAGTCTAATTCACCTTCTTCTCTTCTCTTTCTCTCTCGCTCTTTTTTTTTTTTTAAGTTTGTTCTTTTTTTTTTTAAAGGAAAACATTAGTTCAGTTCCAAGTCATGTGGGTACAAACAGAGGTGAAGGGGGCCCTTGGCGGGGCTCCTGCAGAACCCCTCTGGGTCCTTGGAGGGGTTCTTGCTGAGGCTACTGTAGGTCTTGAGAATCAGAGGATCAGTCAGGACAGAAGCACCTGGGAAGCCCCTACCTGAATCCCACATGACAGGAGAAATCTTGCCTTTGACCTGAGAACGGGGGGCTGCCCCCTGCAGAGCCAGCCGGACACCAGCTACGGTCCCGAGGGAGCTGGCTGGGCAGCCGGTCCTTCGCTCGGGAGGCCAGGGCCTACGTCCTGGGGTGGCAGGGCCTCCGACGGCATCTCCTCCAGGAGGCTGAGCCCCCGAAGCGGCAGCATGGAGAGCTGGGTCACCTCACACAGGGCAGGGGCCTCGGGGTCCTGCTGGGGAAAGGGCGAGTCACACAGGCCTCAGCAAGGCGGGCCGGAGGCCCACGAGCCCCGAGTCAGAGGGTCAGGCGCTGGAACCCATTGCACTCAGGGGTGAAGTCTCCAGGCCTCCCTGCCTGACTTGGGAGACGCTCCAGTCATCAGGCTGGTCTTGTAGCTTGGCAGAGGCCTGTGGCCAAGGTAAGGAGGGCACAGCCTAAAGCAGGGGGCTGGCCCCCGCAGGGGCACTCACCGTGGGTCTGGGGTGAGGCTGCACAGCCCCTGCTCGGGGGAACAGCTGCTCCAGTTCCTTCATGTCCACACGTTTCCCGTCTTGGCCCAGCGGGCCCCGCTCTGCCCGTCCTGCCCCATTCGGTGCTAGGATGCCAGGGTCCCTCTGGCTCCGGGGGCCCTGAGGAGGGGAGAGCTGGTTTTCCACATCCTTGCACAAGAGGACCCTAGGGGATGAGCCCAGAGTTAGGAGGAGGGATGTGGGAGCGGCAAGAATACAAGGGTGGAGAGAGTGGGCCGCAAGCCGCCCCTCCCACCACCTGCTCCACACCCGCCCGTCCCACGCAGGCCCAGGACCCACCTGCCCCTTTGGCCAAATAAGAGGAAGAGGACACAGAAGATGATGCAGGTGACCCCGATGTGGATGCCGATGACGATGCCCGTGGTGGACGTCTGGTTGGTGGCCTCCTCCTTCCGACAGTCACATGGTGGGCTCAGGGCTGGGGGGCCAGAAGCAGAGGCAGGTTGGGGGCTGTGGCTCCCAGACACCCAGCCTTCGTGGGTTACTTCTCCCGCAGCTGCTCCCACCCCCTAGTCCACATGGCGTGTGTCCTTGTCTATGGGATCCCAGCCCAACCTTTTTGGTTCTTTTTACCAATGACTGAACACTAACTTGGTGCCAAATACTAGGAATAACACTTTACAGGGGCCATTTCATTCTCCATACAGTTCTACAAGGGTATTACTATCTCTGTTTTATGAAGGAGACAATGGGGGCTCAGAGAGGTTAAGTAACTTACCCAAGGTCACGCAGCCCAGCATCAAACTCAGGTCTAGGCCTATGTTCTCCAGCTCTCCATGCACTGTTGGACCTTCCTGCTTTCCCTGGATGCCTGCTCCCCCCACCCCCCACTCAGCTTCTGGCCTCCCTTCCTGAGGGCCAGTCTTTGGCCAGACCCCACGCCCACCCCTCACCTGTCCTCTCAGCTGCTCCCCTCAGAGACATGAAGCGGACGGTAGCATTGCCGTCCCCATGCTGGTTGTAGGCGAGCAGCTTCACCTCGTACACTGCAGTGGGGTCTGGGGGGAGGGCAGGCTGCTGAGGAACCGCCCAGGCCCCACCGGCAGCCGTGTCCCCAGGGTGAGCTGGAGAAGACCCCCGGGAACCGCCTGCTGGCACCAGGCGCCGCGCCCTGCCCAGCGCCCCCAGCCCCGGGCCACGTCCACCTCACCGAGCTGGCTGAGGTTGTAGGAGGAGACAGTTCCCGGCAGCAGGATGGGGCCAGTGAAGGCGGCCTTGCTTGCTGGGCGGTAAAACAGCTTGAAGCCGCCCTCGTGCTGGGCCAGCCGGGGCCAGGGCTCCCACAGCAGCTGCAGGGTGGAGCTGCCCAGGACCCGCGCAGACAGCGGCGGTGGGGCGGGGGCTGTGGGCGGAGAAGGGGGCTGAGGTGTGAGGACCTGGTGGCCATCGAAGCGCTACCCTTCCACCTGCCACCTATGCCCCAGACCCCATTGCCCCCAGGAGCCCGGCTGCTCTCTGACTCTAACCCAGGGCCTCTGCTTGCTCAAACAGCACCTCTGCAAGAATTTATCAACAGAAAAGGACACCCCTCCTTCCAAGTAGACTCAGCCCCCTCTCAGCCCCAGGGCGAAGCACAATGTGCAGTGCACAACCTGAACATCGGTTTCCCGGGGGTTCTACCTAATCCCCTGGCGTTTTGTGCTCCACACCCAGAGCTCACCTTCGCCTAGAGTGCTGGCCAGGGTGGGGGCGGAGGCTGAGCTGGCTCCCTGGGGCGTGTAGGCTTTGATGTAGAAGCTGTAGGCAGTGGAAGGCTCCAGGTCGCTCACCAGATGCTGGAAGGTGCTCTTGCTAACTGCTTCCTGGTACTCCAGCTCCGGCGGGTCTGGGGAGGCCAGGGCGGGGCAGGCAGTGAAGGGGCAGGAGAGAATCCCGCCCACACTGGGGAAACGAGGGCGGCCCCCAGAGGGGCCAGTCCAGAGGAGGAAGGAAAGGTGCCGGGTCAGGAGGGTCAGGACGTGGGGACTGAGGGGGTGAGAGCCAGGGAAGTAAGAGGAAGGGGCTGCAGGGGCAGCCTTGCCCTCCGGGGCCCCACCCACCGGCCGCCTTCCTGATGTGCAGGACATAGCCGATGATCTCCCTGGTGTTCACCAGGGGCTCGGTCCAGGACACGCGGACCTCGGTGGACGACACGGGGACCGCCTGCACGTTGAGCGGGGGCCCGGGCAGCCCCTCGGCCCACAGCACGGTCAGCCTGGCGCTGGCTTGGGAGGAGCCGGCGCTGTTCTCGGCCACGCACTGGTAAATGGCCTCATCTTCCGGGCCGATTCCAGAAATGGTCAGGGTGCTGCAGGGGGAGGGAAAGCCTTAGACCCCCTCCTCCTCCCGGAGTCTCCTCGGAGGTGGGCCACATCTCCCCATTTGAAAGACGGAGAAACTGAGCCCCTCCAGAAGACAACAACAGGCTTGTCTGAGGTCTCTCAGCTAGTTAGGGGCAGACCTGGGACTCAAACCCAAGTCTCCAGACCCCCAACTTAGCATTCTTCCCCAACAGGAGGTGCACGGTGCCTGGACCACTCATCCGAGACCCCCTTCCCCGATACCTCCCCAGGCCTCACCCCGCAAACGCCACGCACGTGCCTGTTGTTATTCTTGAGCCTGACATGGCCTCCGGGCCCCAGCACCTGTCCATTCTTCAACCACGTCACGTGAGGAGGTGGCTCGCCCTGGGCTTGGCAGGTGAACATGGCTGTGGTTCCAACCGGCCTGGAGATGGACTGGGGGTGCTGGACAAACTCTGCCGGGGCTGGGGTCAGGGTCGGGGGAGACGTAGGGGACACCTCTGAGTGAATGGATGAGGAGGGGGAGAGAGTGGGGCCAGAGACCTGTGGGTGACAGGGTGGGCCAGGAGCCGCCTCCAGTGGGGCCCACCCTCCGCCCTGGTCCAGCCTCCAGGAAATAGCAGCCCTCACCTCCCTCGCCCCAGAGAGGCAGACGCAAGAGAGGACTCCATTTCAATGACTATTTAAAAGACTGACATTTGTATCCGAAAGCAATCAAGCTGAGCTCCCTGTTCAGGAAATTGTTAAATAAATAAATGTGCTAATAGGTTTGGCTGCACCTTGAAGGCTGTAATGATGGGGAGATGGATGAGCCTTCAGTACTGGCTCCCCTCACCCCCTACATTCTGTTTCACTCTCCTCCAATCCCAAGCCTCGAGCTTCCATTAACACCCGAGAAATGAAATGCTCCATCACTTTCATTTGGACAGATTAACGGCACATGGAATGCTAAACAAACAGGCATTTAAGTTCCTAATTCCACTCTCGCCCATCTCTCCAGGAGAGAACAACCACAGAACACCCCCACCCCCACCCCTGGCCCCCCAGCCCCGAGAATGGAATGCCAAGCCCTGTTCACAGAGACAGCTGAGTCCCAGGGCAGGAGGATGGACAGAATGACCTGGTCAATGGCAGAGGGCCCGCACACTTCAGGCGTGGAGTGTGTGTGTGTGTGTTTGCGTGTGTGGAGGGAGCTGGGGGGTGAGAGTGTGAATTGACAAACATGCTGAGAACGTGCGTGCAGGTGTGAGCGTGGAAGTGCCACATGTGTGAATGAGAACAGCACGTGATGGGAGGGGACCCAGGGAGGGGGGTGGCCCACGTCGGGGAGACCCGCCGAGATTACAAGGTGGAAATGCCTGGGGGGTGATGGCACCTGACAGGACGGATGACCAAAGCTGCCCTTCCCTTCCCCACACATACATTCCTGGGGGGTGGGGAGTGGAGAGAGAGCTGCTGTCTTTGGCCAGGCTGGGACCCTGGAGAGCGGCAGGGGCAAGGTCAGGGTGAGGATAACAACGTGGGCAAGTATGAGGCCCTGGGCTTGGGCAGGATGGGGCAGGCAGAGGGGCGGCGTTGGGTGGGGGGCAGTCCGTACCTTGCACCACCAGCCGGCCCTGGGCTGTTCTCCTCACCCGGGTGCCAGGCCTGTTGGCTGCGCAGACGTAGACCCCTGAGTGCTGTACAGTTACGTCTGAGATGATGAGGTTCCCCGTGCCCAGCACCTGGATGCCCTCCACCCCAATGGGGCGGCCATCTAAAGAGGAAGGGAGCGTCAGGGAGGGAGGTGTCCAGGAACGTCCCAACTTGACCACCATCAGTCCTCCAGGGAGCCCCTGTCTTTGCCTCTGACTCTTCTCTCCAAGCATCACGGCATGCTGGAGGGGCAAAGGCAACACCAGAAACTCTTGCCCAGCCGTAGGGAACTGGGTCCTAATCCTAGCATTGTCACTGCCTCTCTGGTGATCTTCAAGTCCCCTGCCCCTAGTTTCTCAAACAGGAAAGTAAGGTCTTACATGGTGGACATTTCCCTGCCTGATTTGTCTTTCCTCAGCCAAGTTCCTTGATCAAATGTCCATTCTGCTCCTTGACTGTCCCAACGCCCATTAATACCAAGGCTCTGACAAGTCCTGCAGCCAAGGCATCTGGTTAACTCTGTTTCCCAAACTTGCTAGACCACCAAGCCATTCCTTCCCCTTGCAGATCACGCTTTGGGAAATGCTCTACCAGATGGTCTTTACCGGGTCTATGGGCTCCTCCTAATGGTGAGGCCTCTCTTTTCAGCCTCTCCCAGGCCCTGGGCTCTCCCCCCACCCAGGATCAGATTAGCACAGTCAGAATGCGAGGAGACAGCTCCCCATTCAGCCTCTGAAGTGGTGAAATCTACTCCATTATCCTGCCTGCTGCCCCCTCCTTCCCCATCACTCAGCTGCTACAATGTAGTGCAGTCTCCTTGTGAATGCGACCCCACCCCGTCCCCTCCAGACTTTCCTTCCCCCGTGACCTCTCCACTCAGACAATGTGGGCCCATCTGCACCCTTTCATTTCTCTCCTTCAGCTGCCTGGGGATTTAGGCTGGGGATTGAGGGGACCAGGCTAGAGATTCAGGGGCCCAGAGAGAGCGTGTGACAACCGGCTGAGATTTTGAGGGGTTTGGGATTGCATCGCTGGGGAAGATGGCCAGGGTATAGAGGACAGAGATGAGCCAGAGGGGGAAGTGACTAGGGGTGCTGAGAGCTGCAGAGAGGTTCTGGAGGGCCCAGTGGTGAGGCCAAGGGTGAGCAGGGCATGGAGCTGGCACAGGACTGCAGGAGCACTGGACGAGGTAACCCGGGAGCTAAGCCATCTACACAGGGGGAGGGAGAATGCAGTGGGCCGCGGACCTCCCTGGTCCTGCCAACGAGAGGGAAACCACCCCCCTCCCTAGGACTCGAGAAAGCGGACCCCCACGGAGAATAAACAGGATTCCAGGTCCCCGCCCCCCAGAGCTGGGAGAAGAGACTGGCCCTCCCAGGGTTGGGAGAGGCGGGGGCTGCAGGACGGGGCTCACCCAGGCGGCTCCAGGACACAATGGGGCGCGGGTTGCCCGTGGCGACACACTCGAGCACAGCGGTCTGATGCACAGTCAGGGTGAGGTTCTCAGGCCCCACGAGGATCGTGGGCTCCTTGTAGGCCCCAGAGCCCGAGCCTGGAAGACGACATTGCTTCACTGTAGCTGGGACCCTTCCCACCTCCTCACCACACTCCGCCCCGTACCCGCATACATGGCTCAGGCCATGGGGGATGGGAGACAAATTGCAGCCCAAAACCAGGTGGGGGGGCGGAGAGAAGAGATGCTGGCGGTCCCTGGTTATCACGCTCATCTCTCTGGTCAGGGCCTCTCGCAGTGGGACAGCCACCCCCACCTAACCACCTAGAAGCCGAGGGTGGGCTTCCTCCCAGAGAACTGAGCCAGCGAGGGACCTCGGGGTCCCTGAACCCTCACCCCGAGGAGCACAGAGCTAGGTGTTCAGAAGGTGCTCACAGTCCAGGCCCTGAGGCTCCAGTGAAGGGAGGGCGATGTGGTGGTGGGGGGGAAGCATGCGACAGGACGAGGCCCGTACCTGTCACGGTGAGCCTGGCCCCGTGGCTGACCCGGACACTGGCGATGTTGGAGGCCACACAGTGGAAGACGCCGCTGTCCTCAGCTCGAAGGCCTGTGATCTGCAGGACTCCCTTGGGCAGCAGCGTGTACCTGTGGTGGGGGGCACGGTCAACCACCAGCACAGCACCACTGGCCCAAGGATGCTCAGCATCACAGACACAGTCCACCACCCAGCCGCTGTCCCAGTCTCACTTTCGTCATCGCAGACACACTCTGGGACTCTCACTGGTGGACGCCCCTGCAATTCCAGCCTCAGCAACAAACAACCACACGCCGACCTTCTCACTGACTCAAGTGTTGCATCTGGGCCCACAAGCCACACAGATACTCAGTCTCAACAAAGTGGCAGGAATACCACCCCAGAGGCTGCAGGCAGGCCTTCTTCAAGGTTCAGGCACTGGACTGGGCCTGCCTCCTGGTCATGCCCACCCAGGGCTCACCTCTCATTGTCCGTGTCAATGGGGACCCTGTTCTTCTCCCAGGTGATGAGGGGTTTGGGGAGCCCATGGATTTGGCACTGGAAGCGGGCCACACCGCCCTCCTCGCCCACGGTGGCCTGAGGATGCACGTGGAAGTCTGACATGGCTGGAGAAAGAAAAGGAGGTGTGCGTGGGGGAGGCACACTGCTGAGGAGCAGAGGGGACGGGAGGAGGCGTGGGGGCCTCAGGTCGACATCAGCGCTTACCCTGCCTCCTACCTGTGAGAACATCTCCCCCAGAAGGACAGTATAGGCCTGGCTGGGACACTCTGAGAAAGGTATGGACGAATCCTTGAATGATCAACCTCTAACACCGAAAGAGTGGACTGTGGACACACAGAGGCCAGTCATAGAAAGCCTTGCTCCCAGGGCCTGCTCCCCACTTTTACAGCTGCTTTTGGATTTAGTTTTTATAAATTCCCCCTTAGTTTGTTGTTCAGTCACAAGTCATGTCCAGCTTTTTGTGATCCCCATGGAGGGAGGAGCCTGGAGGGCTACAGATTTCCCAGGCAAGAATACTGGAGTGGGTTGCCATTTCCTTCTCCAGGGGATATTCCCCACCCAGGGATTGAACCCAAGTCTCCTGCATTGGCAGATGGATTACCGCTGAGCCCCCAGGGAAGCCCCCCTCCCCCGGCTAAAGTATGCAGGTGCTAAATATTATGCTGCACCTTTTACAGAATAGGAAACAGGCCCAGAGAGGGGAAGTGACTAGGCCAGTGTCACCTAGTGGGGACACTGGTCCTTAGACCCTGGTGACCAGAGCCCAGTGGCTTTCTTTGCCCTTCATCATCATCCCTTTATCCCCAGTTCTTCTGCAGCTTCTCAACGTACCCCAAGAGGGTAGTATATCCATCGAAGGTGACAAGCCTCTCAGAAGACTGTCAGACCCACCAATCTACATTTCAATGTGTCATAAATATTCAGGGGCTGCCTCCCCACCTTTCGGGGATCTGAACTAACTGCTTGAGCGCTGATCATGAGAGGGGCCGTGGGCCACCCCCCTCCCCCCACTCCATTTTCAGCTGGTTAAGTGTCCCTACCCACCCTCATTCCCAGCCATCCCCACTCCCCAACCTGTAAAGCCCCGGGAAGGGGCCCCTCCCACGCGGCTTCCCAGTTTCAGCACCAGGGCTGTGATTTCATTAAAATCCACTTTGCTTCAAGTGCGGGAAGGCGGCTCACCATCTGTCCAGGCGGGCAGCCCCTCCCCTCCAACACTCCATCAACGGGGACAGTTGTCCCCTCCCAGAAGGAGCCCTCCCCCACAGCAGCAGGGCCCCCGGAGCTTGTCCCAGCTCCGGCTCCCAGCTCCCTGGTTGCAGGCGGGCACACCCCAGGCCCGACCCCCTCAATCCTCCAGCCTGTGCAGGACTCCAGGGCAGTTCGGAAAGGCCAAGCCTTTGTGCCCTTCTCCCCAGCGTCTCTGGGGGCTGACTCTTTTGTGGCACGTTCTCTGTCTCATTTGCATGTGGTTCATTAAATATAAACATGCATAAAAATCCCAAGCCTTGCCTCCTCCTCTTTCAGGGCCTCCTGGGAGTGCGGCTGATGGGTGTGAGCGCCTCCTTGCACATGTGTGCAGGGCTGTGTGTGTGTATGTGTGTGTGTGGTGTGGTGTGAGGGTCTGAGGCTGGATGTGAATGAGGGCTTGTATATTCCGCTTCTGTGGCTTCTGTGTAGGTGATCCATCACACATGTCCCCAGGTAGATACAATCCTTACAAAGGGCACCTTGGGCCCTAGGGGAGGGGGGTGGGGGCAAGCGCCCAGCTGGTGTCCCCATCAGGCTTGGTGCAGTGATCCCCAGGGAGCACCGTGAGGTCAGCCTATCCCGTCTCAGGCCAAAGGCTGTGTTTGGCCAAGAGCTTGCAGGTCAGCCCAGAGGTTCAGGGGAGGGGGCAGACACACCGGTGGGACGCCTCTACTGCTTCCAGGCCTCAGCCTCCAGGAGGGCAGGGCCAGAGGCAGGCCTGGGGAGTGGAGAGGGCACCCAGACTCCTGGGTCAGCTGTCTGTGCCCCCACAACCCGGCCCGACCCACTCAGGAGCTGGGGAGCTGCCTGCCAGCCCCCGCCCCCATCTCCCCCCCAGCCACCCCCCCCCACTCCAGCTGGAGAGGAGCCTGTGGTCCCCCAGGGGATTGGGGCGGGGACTAATGGCTCCGCTGACTACAGATGCCTCCTCATTAAGGAACCAAATCCTTTTGTGTTTCCAGCCCCCATTCTGGGCTCCCTGGAGGTACAGAGAGCTAGGAGCTGGCCTGGAGAGAGATACCAGGGCAGGGACTGCTTCTCCTCAGGGCACTGGGGATGGAGAAAGTTTGGCTTCTGAGCTTCTTCCTCCCCCTAAAACTAAACAATGACAAAGCCTGGCTTGAATGCCCTGCTGGAGAGGAAGGCTGGAGCAGGAAACAGCGGTAGTTAAGGAGTAGATAAGGAGTCGGTCTGCCTATCTTCCCACTGTACAAGAGTCCAAAGGTACCCCCCAACCCGGGCCTCACATCTCCCCCCGCAGAGCGGCACCTTGATGAACCCCCCCATCAGCTTCACCGAACTGCCATTCTGCCAAACATCTCATTTGAAGGGTAGCTTTGTTTTGAAAGGTGCTTGAAAACTACTCATCGCAAGCCAACCCATTTACTAAAGGAAGGGGAAACTGAGGCCCAGGCCCAGTTGGTGGCTCTACCAGCCCCAAATCAGAAGTTCCACACCCTAAGCCCTGTGCTGGGGTGTCCCTAAGTTCTCCAGCAAACTGTTCACTTTCCAAGGACAGGTGATCCCAGAGTGGACTGCAGGTGGGACTAGCCTTTTCTCACCAGCTGGGAGTTACCAGCGTGCTGCAAGTTGCGGTGAGCCCCAGAGATGGCTCCTAAATCCCATCCCTCAGAGAACCACGGTCTCCTAGTGGTGCAGTAGGAGGGCTGGCCCCCTTTATCTGTGGCTCCTTCTTCCCTCCCTTTCCTCCCACCCCTGTTCAACCCTTGGGTCAGCCCTGTGTATCCCTGCAGTGTCCTGGGGGACTACGGTGAGACCCTGGGCAGACAGTGTCAGAGGGTAATAAGGAAGAGCAAATCCGACTCCATGCTGGATCCGTTTCTTTTACTTTAACCTTTTATTCTACTGCTTTTGCGACAAGTTCATCTCTAAAGTGATGTTGCTTAAAGTATAATCATAAATATACAAAGGCCTTCATAAACAGGCCTTTGCTTCCTAGTGGCTCGGACGGTAAAGAATCTGCCTACAATGCAGGAGACCTGGGTTTGATCCCTGGATTGGGAATATCCCCTGGAGAAGGGAATGGCAATCCACTTCAGTGTTCTTGCCTGGGAAATCCCACGGACAGAGGAGCCTGGCAGGCTACAGTCCATGGGGTTGGAGAGAGTCAGACCCGACTGAGCAACTAACACTTTCACTTTCTTTTGTCCATTCTCAGCTGAGTCGGGGTCTCTGGGAATTGTCCACTCACTCCAAGTTCACTCCTGACTTCCTTAGGAAGTCAGGGGAGAAAGTTTCTCGGGGCCACTTAGATCTCCGATCTCTCAGAGTAGGACGTGTTGGGTTGACAAGTCTGCTCTGCACTGGCTTGTACAAGCTAGCCACAGAGCTAGGGGAAGCGATCCTTGATCGTGTGTCTCTCTGGGAAAGGGTCCCTGGGCAGCCATGGGGCTGAGGGGCTGAGGACTGGACCTCCGAAAACCCTGATCCCTGAGCAAGCCATCCTGGAGGCCACTGTGTGGTAGATAATGGCCGACACGGGTCACTGTGGTGGCTGGAAACACTACACGGAGGCCAGTGTGGGCGGCAGGCAGGGCGTCCGGGGCTGGCGGGTGTGAAGGTGGTGCTCTGGCTGCGGCTGCTTTATTCTCCTGCTGACACCTGTTGGTCAGGCAGAGGCCGTTGTGGGTTCCTCGCTTCAAGTTGGGTTATGGGAGGGGGTCGCGTTGGGACGCCCCTCCAGGGTGAGGACCAGAGAGAGTGACAGGGTGGACAGAGGCGTCCATGGGAGGGGGGGTCACTGTGGAGAAGTGAAGAAGAAAGTACCTTTGTCCCCAAACAGTCTGCAAAGGAGTCTCCCAGCCACTCCCTGCTTCCGCTATGGGTACACCCAGGCCTTGAGGAAAGAGGGCTCAGAGAAAGAGCGCAGGAACCCAGCAGCCTGGAAGGGAGCAGAAACAGGCAGGATATGGCTCCTGGGCACCCCTGTAAATCACCCAAGGGGAGGGGTGTTCTGAGAGCCAGGTCTAGAGTAGGTCGGGGACGGGAGGGGGCGTTCCTCCTAGTCCAGACCTCTGGCGGGGTCAGGCCTGGATCTGATTAGACAGGCTCCAGGGGGCCGCTGCGGGGCAGGAAGGGTCGGGGCAGAGTGCTGGGAAGGAAGCCGGCCGCATCCCCCTGGCCCAGTCTCTAGCCCTTGGCTACAGCCAGGCTCCTGTCTGGTGTGTGACGACAAAACCATCAGTGGGCTTGCCAGGATGGAGAGTTCAAAACACAGCCTTTGTGGAAGCTGGTGGCACTGGGGGTCTGAGGGGGTCTGAGGCACTGACTGCCCCCATTCATACTGCCCTTCAAGAGGAACATCCACAATCTGCAACCTCTTCCGAAGGCCATCAAGGCCAGTCCCTCTCTTTGGATCCATCCCTGCCAAGGACCAGGGATATCCTGAATGCCCTGCTGCCTCTTAAGCAGCTCAGATGTTAACACTTTTCCTTGTACCAGAGACATGCCTGAACCCCATATGCTTCCACCCAATGCCCCAACTTTCCCCCTGAGAATTTCATTTTCCAATAGAGGAGCTAGCTATTAAGCACTTGAAATGTGAGCAGTCCAAATTTAGTTGGGCTATACCTTTAAAATACACGCTGAATTTCAAAGATTTAGTACAAACTAAAAGACAGTAAGCATTAGAGAAACGCAAATCAAAACCCTAATGAGATGCCACCTCACACCCATTGGGATGGCTACGATCAAAGCAAAAACAAGAAATAACAGAAAATAACAAGTGCTGGCAAACCTGGGAAAAAACTGGAATCCTTGTGTACTGTTGGTAGGAATGTTAACTGGTGCAGCTGCTAGTGAAAACAGCATGGGGGTTCCTCAAAAACTTACA